TCTTCTCGTTCCTATCAGTAACAATTCGGGCCAACGCAACTGGATATTAGATCGGACGCAGTGACGCCCCGTCTAAAGAAATAGACACTTATTTAATCCTCCTTTGGTTTAGCACAACAGCGCAACCCGTAATGTAGAAAAGTCAGAAGACAAAATTACCGTCGTAAATACATTTTAGCGGCCTAAACGCAACCAAGGAAGATTGATGGTAGAGAGCGCTGGAACCAGATGTTCATTAACAGCTTTCAGTTCCCTAAATCCTGACCGCTTTTTGCAGACTTCGTAGCCTTCTTAGGAGCAGGAAAGAAAGTATTATGTTTTTATAGTTTATTGCATGCGAGTTCAAACAAAAACAATTTAGTGTGTTTCTGTAAAGTCAGACCGACTGAAGTGTCATGGGACTACCACTAGAGTCCTTTAGAACAGGAGAATCATAAGTAAAAAAAAAGCCAGAATGGAATTGTAGGTTTACGCCAGAAGTATTCGCATTAGCTGTCGCAGGGCGATATAGCTGCATAAACCAGACGCTTCAAATATTAGAAAAAATGGGAATAGTGCATTTCTGAAGGTGGTACGATGTTATATAAACAGACGGGTGATGGCGGCGAAGGAAGAGGGGAGCTCGAGAAGAGTGGGCTTGTCAGCAGATTTCAAAAGAATTCTAACATGACGAGCGCCCTAATGCGCATTCAGATAGTAAAAATATTACTATTTGTCAAATTCTCCGCTTGGATCGCGTGAAATGAAGCTTTGCACGTGAATGGCAGAAGGGCTACAGGAGCAAAAATTGGGTATGCGATACACCGATTGTATCTGTCGCACGAGGCTTTTGAAGGTCACTCGAACCTGCCCAAGCCTGAGCCTACGGAAATGCGTGAATCTCGCAGCAAACGTCACGACCAAAAAACTCTGTAGGGAGAATTTCGCACCAGCAGTTATCGATGCGCATTTACTGACAGGTGTAAATAGAAGCGCCGCAGCTAGCCATTCGCCAGTCAAGTCGACAAGAAACCTCCAACTGTATGGTAGAAGTCAAAAGGTACGCGGTTTGTGCACAGCACGTTGCACGTTACGTCATTCAATGCCGCCTCGACTGAACATACTGCAGTTCACGCAACCCACCCTGACTTAGAAGAATTGATCCTCCAGATGGCGGGCCCAAAGGCGAAAATACCTAAGCAGCTGCTAGACAGTACCACATAGAGGAGAACCTGACGAAGAGACACAGAAAATGCGCCCCAGTAGTTAAATTTCGCGGCCTAGCTGATGGGAATAAAAGCAGTAAGGAGATGGCTAGCAAGAGGCGTAGAAGCCATGGCACAGTCGCCGGGAAATAATTCTAGAGCAGTGAATTCTACTATGGTAAGCAGAGTGCATTAATCGGCCTCCGACCTCAATCTGATGTGCGGAGAAAGACTGAAACGTTTAGATAACATCATCTACATTGTTATGGCTTTCAAACAGTAGTGAGGAAAGTCTGCAAGGGCCTGCGAACATAGTCCAAGAGACGCGACAAGCAGCAGACTGGCGTTCAAAATGCGCCGCACGAAAAGTAACCAAGCACTAATCATGCATAATGAGGTCGTCCAGAAGGAAAAGAGCAAGTCGTCGATGCGCGTAAACAGCAATAGCAACGAAGCCAACAACGGTTGACAGCACCCAGCAGTTTCCCTGGCCTTTATATAGCGTGACCGGTAGCTCTGAATAGCTACTGCAGCAGACTCAGACAAACAATACATATATGAGAGGATAAAAAGGAAGAGAGGGCGTTGACGGACTGCTATATTCGATTTCCAAACAATGAGGATCAGTGCAAAATTATGGCGAAGTAGAAAGACGGGAAAAGCTGACTCTGCAAGGATAACACACAGCTAGAAGAAGAAGAAGAAGAAAAATATGGTAAGAACGTGCCCGAGATGGAAAGCAGATCCTGTCCGACCATACACTCAGATCACTGTGCTGCTACTGATGGATGCACGAGCAGAAAGTCGCTTTACACTGACAGATTCCCACACCCTGAAGCACACCGTTCACAAAAAAGCAAAGCCTGGGTGGGGAGAGTTGTTTGAAAATACTGTACAAGGTCGCACAAGGAGAACATATATTTGGGGAAGTAATTGCAAAGGGCAAGCGACAATGAATGGTGCAAAGACAGAGGAACCACAGAAAGTGGGCAAGAAATCTTGAAAACCAGTCGCTGCGTTTTAGGATGGGAGGCAACGGAGTGGCGACAGACTGGGGGACAGGAAAGACCTGTCTGTGGGAAAACGAGTACGTGCGCGCATTAGGCAGACGGGATATACGTCTTTATAGCCCCCCTAAATCGCTCGGAATGAAATAGACAGAACAAAGGTCCCTGCGAAATGACAAAAAGCGAAGGTAAGCGGGGG